AATTTTTAAAGACTGCTTTCTTTTGCGCGCGGTTATTTTTAAAAATTTATTTATTGTAATTCGTTTAAAAACTTATTTATTGCTTTCGTTAATATTTATTATTTACAAAATGTTATGATTTTACAAAACAAGAATAAAATTCAGAATTTTTAAAGACCGCTTTCTCTTGCGCGAGGTTATTTTCAAAAATTTATTAATTGTAATTAAAATATCAGTATTGTAGAGTTATTTCGTACTATTTTTAATCCCCTTTGCTCACAGTATTTTATGAAACATAAAGTAAATTAAATATGAAATTTCTTTAGACATTTTTTTAGAGTGTGTTTATTATTAAAATTTATTTATTTATTGATTATTTACAGCAATATTAGTAAATTAGTGTGAGCCAAATGCTAGGAACTAAACAGGACGAGAAACGGCATTCTTTTTGTCACTAATTTTTTAATATTAATTTATTAGCAATTTAATTTTAAATAGGTTGTCCCATAATTGAGAGATCAATTTTTTTTTTTTTTTTTAGAATTCTTGACTAGGTAGAAAAATTACACATAGGTAGTCTTGAAGTAACATTTTAAAAAAGAAAATTATTAAAGATTGACGCAATCTATTAATTACAGTAAATGTAGCATAAAAATATTTTAAAGGTTTTCGCTTTAGTTCCATACCATTTTTCACTTGAAATAATAAAATTGTATATTAATTATTTAATTCTGCTGTGAGGAATCAGGATAATCTTTTATGAATCTTAATCAGCTTCTCAAATTTTTACCTTTTAACAAAATTTTAAAGCTAGCGAAGAGTGGTGTTTATGAAAAAAAATTATTTTGAATGTTTCCAAAATATAGATGGAACAGTTGTGTTCATCAAGGCACTAACATTTCATAAAAAATAAATCAGCTATGAAATAAAACTAAGGAAATTTAAATACACACTACCGTGCAATAATAGATAAGACACTATCAGTTTTTCACCTTTTTTTTTCCTTTTTTTTTGGAATTTCTCACAAAATACCTAGAAAATTATTTTATGAATTTCAAGAGTGTAATAAATTTTAAAACCTTCAGAGGTGGTCTAAGGGGCCGGCAAGAAATTATGAGCGAAAACAAGTATTATAGCATCTTATTTCAGAAAATGTAACAATAAATTTATTAACTCAAAGGACACTTTGTTATTATTTGTAAGAAGTACATAAAATTTTGTAAGCTTATACTATGAAAATATGGACATTTTTATAGAATAAATAAATAAAAACTTTTATTTGCCATGCGATTTTTTCCTAAAACAGGAAAAATACTCAATAAAATAAAAGTTTTAGGAGCAATTTTTCATTAACAAGCATGTTAAAATTAGACCAAGAAAGAAAAACAAATCCTTTAAAATACGTTTTTAAAGTAGTTCTTTCCCCCCTGCGCTGAAACAAATATTTTTTCCTAATTTTGCAGTATAATTTTTTGAAGATATTCAAATCTTTTTTCCCCACGAGTTGCTAACTACAATTCCCGACAAAATTTTGAAAAAAATTCTTAATACGTTCATATCTTACGCAATTTTTAACGATTTACTTTCTGTTCAATTTTAAAATCATTATATTGTAATTAATTAAAAATTGCTTCAAAACTTTTATTCCATTTCATTCAATATTTTTAAGCTATAACAAAGAGCAGCTACAAAATAATCCTCAAATTAGGACAGTGTATGTTCTACATTTACATAGCTGTAAGAGGACCAATTGTACTCGATCTTGAAAGAGTGAAAAAATTCTTTTGATTGGATTGAGGCATTACCTATGATATAAGAAAACTTAAGTTATAGATACACTAAACAGCCTAGAGGAGAGAGAAAAATTGTAAAATTCGATAAATTTTTATTTTTTGGCGCTTTGAAAATTCGACATTTGTCTTAAATTTCATTTATACACATAGACATTTTAATTTAAGAATTAAAAGACTACCTTTTTTGAATAATTTGAATCCTACTTTTGTTTAATTTTAATAAAAGAATTTATAAAATTAAATTAAATGAATTAAAATATTTCTATCCATAGCAATTTATAATAAAAGATGTTTACAAGAATGTAACGGTAATTTTAAAAAAAGTTATGATACATTTAACAAAAGCCGGAATTAAAACTTTAGTTTTTCGAATGATACTGAATCTAATTTTATCGAAAAATCATTACTTTATTAACAGTTTTATAATTATAATAATTTTATATTATTATAATTTTAATAAATATTGATTTAGTTTATCTGAGACAACTCAATAAAATATTAGTACAGTAACATATTTGCAAGTTTCTCTAAAGTAGTATAGTATTAAGTTTTAATAAATTCTGCCGAATAGATTTTTCCTTATTATTTTAAGTCTTACTTTTTTATAAATTGATTACAAGAAATCAATTTCAATTTTAGAAGTGAAAATTCATCAATTTGTTCTAAAATGAATGCGTCAAACAGAACTATTTTATTTCGTCTCAACTTTAGACTGATTCTAGATCTTGGAGTTCTATAGTTATTAAGGTTTATGCCATTAAACTATTTTTAAAAGAAATTCAATAGAGACGTACGAAGAAAGACTTGGAAAGAGAGCTCATCTTATAATTGTCATACCATAAACCTTCGACACATATTAATCAGGCCTTACAATTTTTATTTCGTCGCACCTTCAGACTGATTCAACATCTCGGAGTTCAATAGTTATAAAGGTTTATGCCATTAAACTATTTTTAAAGGAAACTAAATTGAGACGCACAAAATTCTTATGCGGCTTTCACACTTATGCGCGAGCGTTAATTTATCAAGGGCTTAATACTGGTTGTTGTATTTAATTTACGTCGCACTAGAGCTGCAGATGGGCTATTGGCGACGGTCTGAGAAACTGTTCTTTCAGTAAAAATTTGTTTAGTTAACGGTCTTAGAACTTTAACTTGTTGATTTGTTCCAAAAATCAATTGTATTATCTGATACCAATTATTGTTCGTTTTGAATTGGAAAAAAAAAGTTTCCTAGAAATGTACTAAAGATTATTAAAAATATATACATAGTTCGTTCACCAGGAGTTGGCACTTGGCTCCACCTCCTCCGACTCAGAGTTCATGTTAGCGAGGGAGTGAGAGGGGAAACATCTCCGCTCTTGAAATTAATACAACCCTTAATGCGTCCCAAGCACAAACAGTGAATTCTTTTTCAGTCACTTACTTTGATTTATCATCTACTAGTTTAGCTTTCATTACTCTAGATAATTAAATATATTTAGAATTTAAAAATGTCTATATTCCCAGCAAAATGTCTCAAAAAGGACAATCTATTCACTCAAAAGAGAGAATTATCATCAAAGTTATGATATATTTAATGTTAAAGAAATGAACATAAGATACGAAATAAATATTTTTGTCATTCGATCGCCTTGTCAAATTTGACTGTGTCGAAGTTCATTCTTCTTTTAACCTTTGGGTGTATTCTAAGCATTAATTTCAAGTAAGACGAAATAAGAAATTTACACTGGTCTCCTCACTCTAAAACATCTTTCATTGGGCCGAAGAATTTTCTTCTGCTTGCAGTGTGGTCTATTTGTTTCCTGTGCACCAGGTGATACCCAGTGAATATCTTTGTGTTTAAACTAACTTCCACCAATAACAAATTCGTTCATTTCACAAAAGGATACAAAAAGTTTTCGTTTCTTCAATAGCTTCATTTCCCACATAGCATTGGCTTTCTGACAATCTTTTTCGAATTTTTGCATTAAGATCTCCCATTAAGATTTTTACATCTTGTTTCGGTAACTTATTTACTACACATTGCAATTGCTCGTAAAATCGTTCTTTTTCCTCATCTTCACAATCCTTTGTCTGAGAATAAACTTGTAAGACTGATAATTTGAACTA